ATTTCACTCGAAAAATAGAGTGAGAGCTGAATCATTCGTTAATTAAAGTAATTTCTGTACGCGTACAGAGTGAATTCTCCGAATGGTCGAGCGAATATTTTCACTGGAAATTGAAGAGTGAATCTGACGTACGGTGAGTTGCAAAACGGTTTAGACGCGATGAAGTCGGGAGCACTCTCACCGAATTGTCAAAACTGAGAGTCATTACCGACGGACTCACGCGATAACAATACAATTAATAATATAATTAAAAATGACAGATAATGATAAGAATAATATAATTGATACGATTGAAATATACACGGAGAGAGAATATTATAATTTTTTTCACATAAATTCTCTTTAATTTTACTGTGTTTTTAATAATCCAAGACTGTCAATAGGATCTTTCTTGCTACAGAAACATAATAAATTTCGCTAGAAACATAGCAAGTGTTTCAATAACACCTTACAGTTCCTAAAATATAAAGTAGCGTGTATAAAATGGGAGGATAGAGTGAATTACTGGTTATAAAATCCTCTAGAAATGTTTACGATAAAATTCTCTCCGTGCATAGAATGAGAATCTATTCTGAGCTGGAGTGAAATGTTCACTCTTGTGTGATTCCGAGTGGCAGAGTATTATTGTTGTAACTGAAATTTAATTTCAAACATGATTCAGAGAGTACGTAATATAGAATTCCGCAAGACCGACGATTTCCGAGTTAAATGATTCCGCATAGACAGTTACTTGACAACTGAGGGTCTGAAGTCCACGGTTTACCGGTTCCCGTGCCTACACCCGTCCGTGTTTAACGGAAAAGGACTGGAATCTCTCATTGGAACAGGTACGCCTGGTATTACGCGCATTTTTCGAGCCCCAGTTGGCGGTCGCACAAATTTACATTGCCTCTAATGGAGCCGTCGATACGTCGTCTCGGCCGGACGATTCCTGTCGCTATCGCCGCCGTCGTCGTCCGGCAGAGTCAATAAAGTTAGAAGCAAATACACGCGGCTTAACAGATTTCAAGCGAGTAACCGCGTTTCATTACACAACGCGCGCCGTATCTCAGCCCGGGAAAATAACGAGCCGAGATGTTTCCACACTCCGACGTGTATAACGCACGGGGCATATCCAAGGCCAGGGAATAGCCTTCTCGCGCTCAAGGATAGACCGTACTCTATCCTCTCTTTACGCGGCTTTAACTTCTGCTCTCTCGCCGGGTGCATTAAATCGCCACCTTCTCGCGCTGGACGCGCGAGAAGCGACCGCATCATCGCCCCGTTTACTGCCGCACAGCCACCGCGAATGATGCATCGGCGGCTGCTTGAGAGGCTTCGCAATCATCATCGCGTCGCATCGCACGATGGGACCCGTCGCGAATGCACTCCGTCGCGTTGCACACGGCGCATCGGTGTCTCGCGTAGCTGTCGTTTCGCATGGACGACTTATTGCGAAAACGGCAGACTCTCGCCGCCTCAGCCAGTAAAACGTAACGGTGTGACGTGAGCGGCGCGATCGACGACTTTGACTTTTAGCGGGAGGCCGTGAGACGGCCGTTATCGCGACAACGCTCTTTGATTAGTCGCCATTACGACTCAGTTTGAACGATCGATCGATCGATCGATCAAAAGCGCGATAAAGATATCCCGCGGCGATTTCAACCTCGGGAACGACGAAAACTATTACGACTTCCGGAACGAAGGAGCCGACCGTGTTAATCCGCCTTGATAATAGTCCGATCCAGTGAGTTGCTCGATAAACGTTTCCGTTTTCCCGCGAGACTTCGCTGAACTGCGATTTGCGCTCACGGCAAAGGTTATCGCGCCCGAACACCGGTGTCTTTTATAAGTCCCTGGGAAACAGAGATAAAAACTAACGAGGTCGCATTGCATTGCGTTGAGATTTCATGAAGCACGTTGGAAGGCTAGTTCGTGAATAAGCGCGACGTCGCGTTCACCAGATGCAGTTGCGGCGACGACGCGCAGTCTTTGCGGATTTGACTCGCGGAAACATTAAGGGGACGCTTTAATAACGAATAACCCTCTCTAAAGTTTATGTCGTATTAGTTGCACAGAATTGCAAATGCTTTTACATACTGTCAAAGTATGTGTAATAAAGACATTTTTAAGTAGACATCTCGAGCTGTCAGCGTAAATATTTACTTGATATAAAAGTAGCGTGATCGTGTCTATTTGACATGACGTTTTATATGACAATCGCTTTTACGTTATCGACAGTTTTGGAGTTCGTCATTCACTTTGGCATCCCCTTAACAGAAGTCTATATCGGGACACCGTGAAAAGATATCATAAAAAAAAGGAAAAAAGCAGAAAAGGAAAGAGATCGGAACCGTGGGACACGGAACGTGCGCTTACGGGGATGCAGGGTCCGGAAGCGACGGACGTCGGGTTCCTCGATGGTGCATTAATCTCCCGAGTGCTCTGTCGAAGGAGGGGAGGACCGAGAGAGCGAGCGCGGCCGCTGATCGGAGAACTGAGAGGCGCGAGGAGAGGGTGGACAAAAAGGGGATCGTTTCAGTTGGAGTAAGCGAGGTAGCGTGCCCCGGGGCCTCCCTGTGCCGGAGCCAATGTAAACGGGGTCGTCGGTTGCACCGGTGGCGGTGTGGCAGCGCCAGCGCCAGCACCCGGCACCGGCAACGACGGCGGCGCGGCTAGGAAAGCCGCCGGCAGCAGCTCGGGAGCGGGTTTATGAATGCAGTCCTCGGCGCATTTATGCCGGTAGCTGGAGGCGCTTATAAATAAAGGACCGCGACGGAGAAATGAAAGGAGGAAAAAGGGGGTGGCGGGCGGGCGGGCGAGAGGAGGAAAAGTCAGAGAAAGAGAGATGTGTGGTGAAGTGAGGGCGGTAGGACGGGAGGACAGAGAAAGAGAGAGAGAATGAGATGGAGCACGAGGAGACCGAGAGGAGGGAGGGAGGAAGATGGAATGAGCGCACGTAGTGTGCGTAGCGCGAGCGCGGATTCAATTATTCTGCGATTACAACGCGACTGGCGACTGGCCGGCCGACTGGCTGCTTCGATCACCATGGTGCCTCTCTTTGCGCCATGTTTCTACGTCGTGGCTGTTATACTGGGTGATCGATTCAAGTGCGACGACGCAGTGGCAGAGGGACGGCGACAAAGCGTCGTCGCGTTGTCACAGAAGTGTTAACGACCTGCTCGAGTTGGCTGAAGCCAACTCGCGTTGTTCGAACAGTGAAACTTTGTTTCTCCTTCTCTCTGTTTTTCACGGGAGAGGAAGCATATTGAAATAGTAATCGTAATATTAACGATTGATTTAGTTATAAAATATTGATGAATAATTAGATGAGAATACTGTTTCACGTTGTTTTGAGTACAGTAGTACACGGAGAAAATATTATAGTCCTTCTTATACTAATTCCTTTCAGTTTTATCAGTTTTTAGTAATCCAGGAATAGAGTCAATAAGGCCTTCCTTGCTAAGAAACATAGTAAATTTTGCTAAAAACACATCAAGTGTTTTAATAGTACATTTCAACTCTTAAAATATAAATAACATATGAAATGAAAAGATAGAACAAATTACTGAATCAATCCATTTCTCTAATTACAAGGTTCTATAGTAATTTTTACTATAAAATTCTCTCCATATACACATATTGTTCTCGATTTTGACGAGAGCGACAACGTTTGCATTTAATGCTGCCTTTCCGTATTGATATTAATAGGATATAATGGTGCGGGATTTCGTGTATGCACGCGGCTCGCCACAACTCTCTCCCCTTATGAAAGACGATCACCTTGTATAAGTATTGTACAAGTGGTGACTGGCCGATATTCTGTCCGTGCACTTCGCACGCTTTTGCTCCCGCAGCCACTTATGCACAGCTCTATCGCGATCACGTCGAAACTATCGCGATCTGTTATTGCACACCGGCTCGATGCACCGCACGTCATACAGACGCCGATAAGCCACCGGCAAATCTGATAAGGGACGTTAGCGCTGTTCTCTCACGTGTTTGAAATCGATACGACGAAGTCATCTACTGTGCTATCGCTACCGCGAGTGTTGCACAAGCGGCTGTCGATGTCTATCGCTTAAATATTTACGATTTATATGTACACAGCCAACGCGTCGATTGTGGACGATAATGGTAAATATACAGTATATGGAGTTTCATCTCGCAACTTCAATTTGCTCTCACAATAAAGAACTCGCAGCCTGCTATATTGATAACCGCGTATCAGATCTTCACCTATCCCGCATCATATTTGCCGTGCAACGTAAGCGAAACCAATCGTGCCCAATGAAATCGTACTCTGTCCGAATTTTCGACTCCGCGCTCTCGATGGATACATTCGAAGCGCGAGGATCACAGACCGAAGATCGTTCATCGGCTTTATCGCGTTCTTAATTAATCCCCGAGCAGATCCTCGAACTATCGACCGAAACGGGGACCAACATCGGACCACCTCGGCAGCGGAACGGTCGTCGTGACCCTCGACTCAGCGCGGCGCGGCGCGTCGGGTCGGGTCGGGGATGAGAGCGCGTATAATTACGCGGAAAGAATCGAACGGGCCTCTCTCTCCTTCTTTCTCTACCCGGGTCCGTTCTTTCGCCAAGTCGAGGGATCAAAGAAGACGATATTCGCGGACGATGTTACCTCCTCGACCGGTCGGGCGACGCGTCACGGTTTTAACGGGGGAACGAGTTCGGCAGCGGCGCGTCGCGCCGCTCGACGTTCTTCACGAAGAAGGCGTTCTCGGCGAATTTGCGTGAAACGACTCTCCGCGCGTATCGGTGTGGTACGGGCCAAGGATAAAGGTGGTAGCAAGAGCGCCGCGGCGGGCCTCCTTCGGAGGTGGGCAAACTCGCGAGAGCAGGAGGAGGAGGAGGAGGAGGAGGAGGAGGAGGAGGAGGAAGAAGAAGAAGAAGAGGAAGAAACAGATAGATGAAGACGAGAAGAAGGAAGAAGCAGGAGTAAGCAAGAGAAAGAGAGAACGAGCGAATCGAAGGTAAAGGCAGACAGGTACTCACGGACGATCCAGGTAGCTCCAGCGCTCCAGCGGGCCAGGTACTCTCTCGGCCAGGCAGCCTTGAGCCAGTGAGACTGGTTTCTGTTTTTGCTTCCATAGTTCCATCCTTCGAGGCTCCTCGGTAGTCCATCCTTCTTCGACTCTTTTTCCCTTCGCCCGAGCTCGCGGCGCGCACTCGTCCCGCACGTCCCTTCGATCTCGCGCGTTGGCGCGTCTCTCACTCTTTCCTCTCGTCTCCGCGTCTTCCGTCGATCGGTATCTTCCTACTTTCGTTCCCGCTGTTTCCCTCACGCCGGCGTATCATCGCTCCTCGTTGTCCCGCACTCGTCGTGACGCGCGGTTATTTCGGAGCGATCACTGAAAAATGAATTGTACCCGTCGCAATGGAGACTTCGTTAAAGGCTAATTTGAGTGCACGATAACGTCACGTTCTAAAGCTCGTCGCGGAATACTTCCGACAGATGTAACGTAATTATAAGTCGCGCTCTCGCCGGTTATCATACGTTGTTTGAATCTCCGCGGCGGGAAACGCGAACCCGGCAGCGCGTTTTCATTTCGCGTCGACTTCTAATCACGACTAATCTTGCGAACATGAAGTATTACTCGCTGCATGGTCGCACGGTCGACAAGGTATATATCGCGTCGACGCGGTTTCGCAATTAAACATGTGTAAATATCTACACGCCACATCTGCAATGACGATCGACGGATGCGATGACGCGACTCCATCGGCGTCCACCGATGCGTCCGGTCGCGCAATAATGGAAACGTCGACGACACGCGGCGCAGAGGATGCCGCGCGATCTCACCGCCGGGCTTTTAATTACGGCGCGCGGTTTTACGAGCGAGCGTGGTTGGATGTCAAAAAAAAAATGCCACAACCGTTCTCTCACGTCGAGAGGTCGCGCGCACGGAGTCCCATAAAAATTTCTTCCAGCCGAGTATGACTGAACTCGGCGTTTCTCGCGTTTCTCGTTCTCTCTGTGTCCCTGTCCGTCTCGCGTTCTACCGAATATCCATGTCCAGGCGTTCGTTGTACTTCCAATCCACTTTATTCCGAGTGAATTATCCTATGCTATTATCCGACCAAAAACGTTATCCCATGGTCCTGATCAGATTGATCCCAATTAATTATCTCATTTGTTTAAAGTGATGTTATCGAGTCCTAACTATTAATGAGGTCTTGATGATTAATAATCCTTATTAACAAGATCCTAGTTGTCATGTTCCGTTAAATGACTTATCAGCACTCGATAACATCACTTCATACAATCCAGATAATTGATTGGGCTCGACCTGATCAAGACCATGGGATAAATTTCTAATCGGGGATGCCAAAGTGGATGGCCGACTTGAGAAATGTCGATAGCGTAGAGGCGACCATCACGAACATCACGAATATTATCATGTTACTCTTTTCGTATTCCTCATACATTAGATCTATATTATATATAGATCTCATATAAATGTGTGCTATTTTATTTTACCATATTTATAGGAAAATTTAACCATAGATATTTCTGCAAACATTTTGTATATTTTTAAGTTTCTAAATTTAATTATATAAAGATGCAGCAATGTTTTTTAAAATTTTCTTGAATAAAGCAAACGCATATTCATATACAAGCTGCAGAAATTTTGTATCAGGAAAATATTATTATATATACGCTAACTGATAGCTCGAGATATCAATTTTTAAAATTTTTTATCGTTTTCGTCACATATTGACCAATATTCCAATTCACCTTTGCACGTATTTTTGTGTAGCACTTGCGATACTGTGTTACGTGTAGTACGACGTAAATTTTATAGAAAACGGTCAGTATTTTGTCGGTAAAGTATTCAAGGCATTCCTTTAAGAAGCCAAGAAGAAATGCACGATAACGTCACGCCTCGGAAGGTCAAACCAGCTGGCCGTTCCCTCATTTGCGAAATCAGTCCGATTTATATACCTGAGCGAATCGAACGGATTAACGCCGCGAGTGCGACGGGATCTTTTTGGAGATCCTGACCCGCCGGATCCTTCCGCACGACGACGTGGGCGCGTGATACCGCGAAATACTTATCTGCGCCTCGCCATCTCGGTCTACGGACAACGTCATCACCGTCGGAGCTGCCGGATTCCGAAGTGGTTAATTAATAATACAGCGACACGGTGCGTTTCCACTTACATCGTCCGCGCGCTACCGAGATTAATTATCATCTCCCGTCGCGGCCGGACACGCGTATCCGTTACTGTGGCGTCGATGTAATCGGGGTCCGCGCGAAATCACGATTTTTCCGCGCGTCGACCTGTGAGCGCGGTCCAGTGACGCGATAAAGCGATTTCTTCCTTCTCTCTTTCCGTTCACTCCCTCTCGCCCCAATCTTTATCCGCCGTCGCGCTCCCCCTCGTTCTCCCGCGCACCATTGCACGGGCTCCCCCTTCTTTCTTTCTTGCTCCCCATCAACTTACTCCGCTGGTACATGCCGGACAGGTCGGAACGATCCGGACGGTACACGGCGGATCGGGACTCGCGCGGCATTCCAGAGTCGGCTTCTTCGTGCACCACCACGATGCGTCGGTTGCGAGGAGGGAGAGAAGGGAGGAGGGCGCGCTTTCTCGGCTCGGTGTGTCCGGAATCCGTTGTTACCTCCGTTGCCGAAGCGCGGCACGACGGAAGGGATCAATGGGGGACCTCTCCTCCGCTTCCCCCCTCCCCTCCTCTCCCTCGGCATTAACATTAAGTAACAGTACCCGCTGCATACTAACTGCCGTATTACCGCCCCACCACGTATCTCATTCAACCTGCGGCTCGTCAACGTAATCAAATACTCCATAAAGAACGCCCGACGTTGCCACCCGCGCGACCATACCCGAATCTGCCCCGGGGAACGCGCTGTATCCCGTTTCCGTCGGGAATCTGGACAGCTGGGTTCGAGGAGCGTGACGTCATCGCACACACAAGCGACGTTTCGAATTCGTGACGTGGAGTTCACCGAGTTCGGTAAATTCTCATGTGTTTTTCGTAACTCGCACGTAAAAGAACAATACTAGTGGCTGAATCTCAATAGCTAATTCGAACTAAGCTACTAAGGCTAATAGTCGTTACTTGAAATTTTTCTCAAATAGGATGCTCAAAATATAATATATAGGTTTAGGATTAGAGATGTAAGTTTTTTAATTGAATTGCAATTACAAATATAATGTCACGAATGTCATATGATTCAAATAAGAAAACTCTGATACAACCGGAAATTCAAATTTGAGTGTCTCACGTGAGATGAATTTCAAGTAAAGACTATTAATACTGCCCATAGTTATTATTTGAGACTTATCTCACAAGTGAGATATTCAGATTTAAATTCAGAGAGTTTGGTGAGAGTTTTTCAGTTGAAACGCGCAATTATAGATATAAATGTCGCATATAACATTATTAAACTGTAAAGAATTTAGATCTGACTCTGAATAAAAATTTGAGTATCTCAACAACAAAGTTTCAGGTAGCTACTATTAACACAGACCTAAGACCGTTTTGCTGTTGTTGCTAAGAGTTGGTCATTAGAGATGAAATATATTCATTTCGAAATAAAAGTTTATATCAGCCGGTAGTGCAATTCCTAAGTATCTTATCGATACTTAGGAATGTGCATCTTACATGTACCAAAGCGTCACTTGTTTCTGGTAGCATATATTTCTCGCTATATCGCCCAAGTTTAAACAGCTATTAATATAAATGGAGCTTCGACAGTAACGACTTCGATAGTTAATCCTATTTGAAAGAAACATCTCAGCTGCTATGGTTACATAGCAGCTATGCCTTCTATTAACCCTTTTTTTGGACGTAAGATACGTCATCATATATGTAGCAAAGAGGAAGAGCGTGTGCATCAAATAATAAATAAGCAATCAAATAAATTACGTGCAAAGTGTGTGTTCGAATTCTTCGCATTGCTGCCGACCATCCACCGTGTTATACTGTTCTGTTTCTTTTTTTATTTCAAACGGTTTCTGAACGAAATAAATTTCGAGATCCAGCATCTCTGCGTATCTGCACCTGAAGTTACGATTGCAACCGCGTTGAGTGTTTCGCGCGACGAGTGGTCGGAACACGCGGAACTCGTTTATGAGCTTCTAATTATTTTCCACCACACTTCGTGCTTATTTTCTAGCAGAGCTTATTTTCTACCACCGATGAAACGGCAGAAACTCGATCGTAAACGCGAGCGGGACGAGCAATTCGTGCCGGAACATGTGCTGGAACCGAATGATATCCGGCCGGATCGACGTCTCCTTACCTACGGTGGGGTCGTTAAACGTCGAAAAGTGGCCGTTTCATTCACGAAACGTCGGCCGCCTCGGACGAGAGACGCGAAACGTATGATTTCGAGAGACAAGCCGCTCCGTAATCCGTGTGTCGGAAAGCGCAGGCATCATACGAACGTAAGTATTATTATACTGCGAAAGAAATAGAGACGAGACGTACGAATAAGTATGAGAAAAAGCCGAGCCCTTTTCCTGCCTGTGCTCATTCCCATAATAATGTTAAGCAAAGTAAGTTGGTAATTTATTGGCACGATTGACATGAGAAATCTCGCAAACCCAGTAATTTTGACTTTAATGAAACTTTTCATATATATTTATAGGTAAAACAAATAAATTTATAAACTCTCCATTTCTCACCTATAAAAATCATGTTTCAACATGCAACTGAAAGATTTCTGAATTCCATTTACTTTACATACGTTTATGTAAAATTTAATTAAAACTGCGGAATTTCTGGATTCGCGAGATTCCCTCGTGAGATAACATCTCATACAAGACTCTCGTAAAAATACCATCGGTAAAAGACAAATAAATCTTCAAAAGGTCGATGGGATCTATCTACTTAATCGAATACATTAAACGAGGGACATATAATCTAATGGCGTCAGCAACGAGAACCAAGCTAATAAATATTGATTACGTGTGTGCCACCACGTGACAGAAAAGGCCGTCACGAGCATCTTCTTCGAGGAAGATGCAGTTTTCTTGGGAGAAAAAGAGGATTGACTTCCTCTGGTACGTACACGAGGAGAATATAATAGTCTTTTTTTCATATAAGTTCTTTTCAATTTTTCTAGTAGTGCAGGAAGTAACTAGTAAAATCTATCTTGATAAGGAACAATAAATCTCGCTAGAAACATAACAAATTTTTTAATACACTGAGAGAAAAAATATCAAACAAATAAGAAATATTTATTTGATGGACACTAATAACATATTTTTAATTAACAATAATTTCTTTTAAATCTAGAAAATATATATTCTACTAAAACTACTAACCGCTATTTTTCATTAAAATTTATAGTTGTCCTATTTAAATAAAAGAATTTAG